GGCGCAGCGGCAGGGGGAGCAGGCCTTCGGGCTGCACCCATGGCCCACGCCGGCGGGCCGCGGCCGCCGCGGTGCGCGCGCCCGAGCGCGCCGCCGCGGCCAGGCGCGATCCCCGCCCGCCTCGTCCACCTACTCCTCACCTCGTCGGTCCCCTCACCTCCTCACCACACTGCCGCGGTGCGCGCGCCCGAGCGCGCCGCCGCGGCCAGGCGCGATCCCCGCCCGCCTCGTCCTCCTCACCTACTCCTCACCTCGTCGGTCCCCTCGCCTCCTCACCACACTCCCTGGGGTTTCGATTGCTGGGCCGCCCCATTCCCGTCCCTTTCGCCCTGTATCCGTTTCTGATGACCCTGGGGGTCCGACGATGCCCACCCCCTCCCTCCCCTCATCCTTCCTCCCATGGGGACCGAGCCCCGCGCCGATCGCCGACCGATGCCATCGACGCCGTCCTCCCGCCGCCCTCCCGCCCGCCCTCGACCGACCGGCGATCTCCCTTTCCATTCCATTCCAGTGGTGCTGCTGTTTTGTAATTTTGCTTTAGGATGTTAGGCTGCGGGCGTGCGTGGCGTATCTACGCACGCCCGCGGCGCGTCGCCCAGCTCCGACGCCCCGCCCGACGCCTATTACCCGAAGGGCCCGAGGCCCGACGCGCCGCCCAGCGCTCGAGAAACGCATGCAGCCCCCACCCCCCACCCCCGATGCGATGCTCAGTCGAACGTGTCCTATCTAGTGGCCTTCGGTCTATCCCGCCGTCGTCCCTGGGGATCTCATGTATGCTGGTTGGGGTCTCGTGGTTGGCCTCTCGAGTGTCTCTGGGGTGCAGTTTTAGAGCTTTCTTACACGTGATGACGCGGTGAACGGCTACGATTATGATGTAGATGCCAACGAATTTGAATGTGTTAGCGTCTTCGACGCGTAGGCTGTCCATCATTCGTTTGCGGTTTTAATCAGTTCGACCGTCGCGTTCAAACGGTCGTCAGGAGGTCTCCCCGTGGCGACCTCCTGACGCGACGTGTTACGCGGAATCCTTTGAAGTGGACGTCTCTACGCCTCTACTTCTTTCATTGCGTCCCTGGCCCCCCCCTTGCTGGGCCGCGCACCTGCCGCCGGCCATGATTTGCACCCCCCCCCCTCTTGGACACCCCCCTGGCCGCTCCCGATGAGGGGCGGGGCAGGGAACGGACGTGCCTGCCCTCCTCCTCCTCCTCCTCCTCCTCCTCCTCCTCCTCCTCCTCCTCCTCCTCCTCCCCTCCTCCTCCTCCTCCTCCTCCTCCTCCTCCTCCTCCTCCTCCTCCTCCGAATGGACGTGCCTGCCCGAAGTCGCCCCGCGCCTCGTCTTTTGTCCGTGCCCCGATGCGCACCCGCGCGCGCCCCCCGCCGCTGCTCGACCACCGCCGTGTCGGATCCGCTCTGCGGCCGCCGATCACAAGCTGTCGGGCGCCAGCTCCCCGTGCAGTGCTGCCTGTCTGCGCCGGCTCCACCCTTCGGGCCGGACGAAGGGGGGGGGGATTGGGAAACGGGGGGGTACGAAATCTGCTGCATGCAGCTGGTTTCGGCCCCACCGAGGGGCCCATTCCTCGATGCATGGCCGCCTCCGGCGCCGGGAGGCGCCGGGAAAATCAGCTACGTGAGCTGACTCTCAAACCCCCCTTTTGCTATCCCCCCCTTTCCCCCAGCCCGTATCGTGCGTGCGCCGAGGGCTGAGGCGGCTGGGGCTGGCGTGCGTTTGAGGCGACGCTTCGCGCCTGCTCCGCTTCCGATGCCAGGTCTCCCTCGGGGTCCGCGGCTGGTCCGTCCTGAGTCGGGTGTTGACGGTCCCGGGGCCAGTAAACCCTGCGATCCAGGCGTCGCAACGATGATCCAGCTCGAGGAGTGCCAAAGAATCGCGATGGGGTCCAGAGTTCCGGTCACGAGTTCTGAAGTTTTTGCATTCTCGGCGCGGCGCCGGACCCTGGGCACGGCATCCAGAGCACGAGAATGCACAAATCCGCCGCCTCGATTGCTGCGGCGGCGCCCGGATCAGGAGGGTCCGCGTCCGCTTGGGCGTTGCGTAATGGGGGGGTCACAAATGGGGGGGTCAGAAACGGTCCCCTTTCGTGCCCCTTTCGGGCCCCCCATGGAGCCCCAGGGGGCTCGTTTAGGTACCGTTTGGGTACCTTTTCGGACCACCCTCGCCACCCCCCCATTTATGACCCCCCCATTACGCAACGCCCAATCCGCTGGTACCTTCCAGGGGCAGCGTGGGGGGAGGGCCGGTTCAGAGGGGGAGCGCATCGACCCCAATCGCCCGGGCATCGCCGGCGCGGGCCTGCGAGCCCTCCCCGCCCTGGAGCGTCCGGTGTCGCTGTTCTCGGGGGCCTGTCGCCGAGCCGTCGGCAACACAGCGCCGCTTCGAGCTCCGCGAGGCTCCCCCCCCCCTCCCAGAGCCGGTGCCCGCCCCTCTCGTGGCCCCTCGCTAGGTTTAAGTCGGGCCTGTCCCCCCACAGAGGGATTGTCGACAAAAAATAATAAAAAAAAACAAAGCTCAAAAATAGTCAACAAATGGTCCCAAAATAATCCGGGGACTATTTTTGGAGTATTTTTTGCATTTCTGGTACATTTTTGGGGTATTCTTGGTTTTTCGTCGAAAATCCCCCTGTAGGGGGACACGCCCGACATAACGCTAGGTCTGCCCGCTGCCAGCGAGTGCAGCACTCTTCCCGACGCTGCCTGCGGCCTCTCCCCCACGTCCCTCGTCGTGCTCTTCTGCATTCCGTGCCGCCTGTGTCGCCGCGCCGCTTGTTCGACTACGCGTGAGAGTGACCCTTCGTCGCAGTGACCTTTGGTGCGGGCCCCATGGAGGACGAGGTACCCATGCCGCTACCCGGCGGCCCTTTTCAGGGCCTCCCGGGAGGCCCTCGTCGCCACCGCTGGATTCGCCTCGGAATCCTGGTCAGAACGCACCCCAGGAGAGGCCTGGGGAGTAGCGGTAGCGGTATATTTTTTCCCCACATACGGGACCTCGCGAAGGGGGGGGGGGGAGTTCGGTCCGTTGGTGCATCGAACTGCAGAACACGATGCAAAACGAGGTCTCCAGCCGCCGCCAGAACCCGAGAGGCGTCGACAATCGGGGCGCGCGGGGGGCATCGTTCTTCGGAAGTTCGATGCGCCAGCGGATCGAACTCCCCCCCCTCTCAGGGTCCCCCACCCTTTGGTGGAGGAGGAGGAGGAGGAGGAGGAGGAGGAGGAGGAGGAGGAGGAGGAGGAGGAGGGAGGAGGAGGAGGAGGAGGAGGAGGAGGAGCAGGAGGAGCAAGAGGAGGAGAAGGAGACATCAGATTGGCTCCCTTCTCTTCCCGAGGAGGGCCGGCCGGGTTCGGGTGCCGGGCTCGCGCGCTGCATACGCGCCGTGCTGGTGCGCGCCCCTCTCCCACACACAGCGGCGTCGCCCCAAGATGCTGATGCTAGGTTCGCGCCGCCCCCTTAGGAGGGGCGGCGCGCGCGCCGAGAAATCATGGAGCATTCAGGAGGGGAAAAAACACACAGACACCATGAATCGACGATTCCCAGGGAAATCTGGGAAAATATGGGAAGTGGGGGGGGGGAGACAAAGATTCCGAACATCTGGGAGAATATGGGGAATCTTTTTTTTTTGTGTGTATTTACTGTTGTGTCCCAGGGCCCCTTCAGAATCATGGAGCAGAGCATGCTCGGTGGCGGGCACTTTCTGGCCACACCGCTCGGGAAAAGATGTGCTGCAAGATGGTTGTGCTGTGTGTCCGTGCCAGACGCACGCCTCCAAGGAGGACACGCTGTTCTGGTCAGGGGCGGCATGACGGACCCCCAGCAAACCATCCCCTCCGGCAGCGTCCTCCTCGCCCCGGCCCGAGACGTCTTTACGCGGCCGGAGGGAGGCCTGAAAGGCGAGGATGACGTCACGGAAGGGGATGGCTTGCTAGGGTCAAGTTTGGTTGTTCCCATCCTACTTAAGGACCGCATCCCCGAAATCAGTTCGAGCACCCGGAAAGTGTCACAAGAGTGTCGAAACAGTGTCGAATATGCCACTTTTTGTTCCCCTCACGAGGGCCGTCGCGCTGCTCAGAGGCGTCGCCGCCCTCCGAGCAGGCCCCTGCCTTCGCAGCCCCCCCCCCCCCCTCGCTCGCCGCGCCTGGCTGCCGGGCGGGGCCGCGCGAGCTCCCGCCGGGAGCTGGGAGCGAGACCGGCACGGCGGGGCGGGCTTAAGGGAGCACCGCCCATCACGACGTGCCTTATGTCGGGCGTGTCCCCCCACAGGGGTTTTTTCGACGAAAAATGCAGAATGCCCCAAAAGTGCCCCAAGAAGGCCCAAAAATATACAGAAAATAGTCCCCAGTCTATTGTTGGATCATTTGTTTGATTCTTTGTAGGTTAGTCTTTATTTTTCGTCGAAACTTCCCCTGTAGGGGGGCAGGCCCGACTGAAGTCATGCCGCGAGGTGCAGTATATTCTGCCCGCCGGTGCTGGCGGCCTCTCCCCTATAATTGCGTCCCCGTCCAGCTCCTGCGCTACACGCCTCACTTCAAGCAATCATGCAGCATCTCTGTTCTTCAGGAGGGGACAAAAAATCACACACACACAGACACCATTCATCGCCCACTCCCAGGACGATATGGGAAAATATGGGAAGTGGGGGGGGAGACAAAAACCCATCACATATAGGAAAATATGGGGATTCCTGTTCTTATTGTCTATTTATTTGTGTGTCCCAGGGACCCTTCAGTTCTGCTCTTCGCCCGAGAAGGGTCGCGCTGCGCCAGTGTACGCCCCTCCTACACTAGGGGAACGAACAATGGCATAAACATACAAACTCGGAGGTCCGCGCGGATTTCGCGGATCGGCGCTGGACCCCCTTCCCTGGGGCGCGGAGCGCGCCAGGGGCGGCGCCGGAGGCGCCGCCGGGGGGGTCCAGCGCGGATCCGAGAAATCCGCGCGGGCCTCCGAGGTTTTCTGTCTATGTCGTTCTTCGTTCCCCTCCTACACGCAGGTCTGCCTGTCCGACTTCACCAAGAGCCTCTCGGAGGCCACCGTGGCGGAGGAGAGGCCCCGAGCCTGGGCGGCCTCCCCCGCCGGCGGGCCGCGCCCCTGCCCCCGCCCCTGCCCGGGTGCTGGAGGACCTCCCCCCCGTGACCTCCAGCGTGGAGGGCTTCTGCGAAGGGCTCAGGCGACCCGTCCTCCTCCTCCTCCTCCTCCTCCTCATCCTCATCCTCATCCATCCTCACTCTACCTTCCTCCTCCTCCTCCTCCCTCCTCCTCCTCTTCCATTTCCCCCTCCCCCTCCTCCACCTCCATCTCCTCCTCCCCCTCCCCCTTCTACACCTACTCTTCTTCCTCCTCCTCGGGTCGCCTACGGCCCCGAGGGAAACCGTGCACTCCAGCGTGCGGTGGGGGCGTTCGTAAGGGAATGCGCGCTCAGGAGCCAGCGGAAGTTTCCCTCGTTTTCCCCCTCGGGTTGGAAGGCCCTCGTCGCCACCGCTGGGTTTCCCTCGGAATCCTGGTCAGAACGTACCCTGGGAGAGGTCCTGGGAGTAGCGGTATCGGTATCTTCTGGTTTTCCCAGGGAGGCTTCAGGCTTGGAGGACTCCTTATCTGATGAGGGCGGCGGCGGCGGTATCCGTGGCCAAGCCTCCCTTGGTGTTCCACCAGCTTCCACACCCCGTATTCCTTGTTCAAGGCTTCTTTATACCCAACAGTTACCCTCACCGTATCAAACAGATCGGGGGACGGACCCTGACGACGCTCAGGCGGCGCAACTTTTTCACGGCGGACTTCCTTACCCTGTCCCGGGCCCCAGGACTCACTGATCGATCCAGCTTGAGGTAGGGTCCAGGGTTTTCGGACAGGGCTAGAAAGAGGAACAATCCGTTCCAGAGCGTTCTGGAACGCTTTCAGAGCGTACCGGAACGCCCCGAGAAATCCGCGGCGCCTGAGACAGATCCTCGCCCCAGAATGAGCAAGCCAGGGCCTCGGATCTATAAGTCTCCTGCGACGTCGCAGCCTTGTCCTGACACTCAGACCAGGGCGTCGCAGCGGCTTCGACCTGCCATATTGTTCCATGTTGTCGGCCGCAATGGCCCGTTTGTTGGCCCTGTTGCCGCCAAAGACCAATAAGTGATGGCATGTTGGCTCTGCATGGGGAAGGCGTCGAGCCTACGACCGCTTGCGAATCCTACGCCTGAGGTTCCGATCGACGCTGGGGCACAGTGAACACGCATAGTAAGAATGAGCGACTTTCCCAGGTTACCCTTGCATCCTTCACCTTCGGCCCATCCTTGGCCGCTTTCGCTGGCCGCTTTCGCTGGCCGCTTTCGCTTTTCGGCGTCCTTCTTGTACGGGGTAGCTCTATCAGACGCCCCCGCTGGGGCCCACCTGGCTGCTGACTGTTTTCGAATTCAAAGCCCCCAGCGAGTTTTTCTGACGTCCTGCATGCAGGGCTGGCGTTCGCATGTGCTTGCCGACGTGCCGGTCACCCGGGGGCCGACGCCACGGCTAGCCCAGCAGAGCACTCACCGAGCAGCCAAGGGGAGGAGTCTTGTCGAGGAGTGGGAGTGCGGGCAATAGTTATATCCACATCCAGTGCGTCTTGGATTCTTGGGCTCTCTTCCCCAGAAACCGTAGACGCACTGGATATGGATAAAAATCTGGCCCCAAGATGCTTGAGTTTATCCATATCCAGTGCGCCTCGGCGTTGCGGCACCTCTTCCAAAAAGTCCACGACGCTCTGGATATGGATATAAGTACTGCCCGCAGGGAGATCGGCGAGTCACGACGTGCATGCAGACGTATGCGCAGGGACTCGCAGGAAAGGTGCAGCTGGGACAGGGGTGAGAGCTCGGCAATGTTCAGGAGGGGAAAAAACACGCAGGCACAATGAATCGTCGATCCCCAAGAACATATCGGAAAGTATGGGAATTGTGCGGGAAGACAGAAACCCAGAAAATATGGGGAAACATTTTATTTGTGTATTTATGTGTGTGTGTGTCCTTGGGCCCCTTGAAATGTGCACCTTAGCTTTTTGTTGTTCAGAGATCGTGGCCGTCTGGACCAAGCATGTAGCCTGCACTGCGGCGAGAGCACGATTCCTGAATCAATCGTGAGGAAGTTTCTGGCGAAGCGGATGCTGGACCAATTGATCTAGGGGGGCGGTCTTCGGAATCGCGTCCCCTTTGTGGGCCTCCCCGTTGTTTCTTGTATGACCATTATTTGCTATGTTGTGCTTTCGAGCGGCGGCCCAGCTAAGAGGGTTCGAGGTGTACCCGTGGCGTTCCACCAGCCGGCTGCAGAGGTGCCGAGGTAGAAACGCAGACATGCCAAGATAGCTGGGCATGAGAGGTCTGTTGGTGTAGTCACGGTCAGGCTAATACGGCTACAACACGGTTTGTCTACGCATCATCATGATGGGTTCGAGTTGGTCGTGAGCAGCTTGTGATTTGGTGATGGTGCAACAGCCCAGATCTGTAGCGATGCACTCACGTGAACAGTCCACGGCGCACGCGGGCTACTAATGATGCTGCGTCTGTACGGGACAGCACGAGGTCCGCCCCTGATGCACGCAGACGAGGGCAAGAGGGGGGAGAGGCGGGGCAAGAGAAGGAGGGCGAGAGAGGTGAAGGAGCCCCCAGACCCCAAGAGGCAGGGCAGGGGAAGGGTCAAACCAGCTCCCCGAAGGGAGCTGATATTGGTCTCGCCCGCCCTGCCTCTGCCCTTGCCCCTTCCTTCCCCCTCGCCCGGTGCCCTTCGTCCTGTTCCCTGCTCCCTGCTCCCTGCCTCGTTCCCGCTCGCGCATTCCCCTTTTTATCCTCCCCCCGCGCCCTCCCTACCCTCGGTATCGTTTCACCGAACCCCATCCCCATCCCCACTCCCTTCGAGACCCCCACCACATTACCACCCCAGTTGGGGATACACCCCTCGAAACCCGACGGGAACGATCTATATCCCCATCTAGGGGGTAAATCGGCCAGTGGGGCCCAGGCCACGCCGCTGGGGATGGGGATCGGTTAAACGATACTCGTGGAAGGATGAAGGGCCTCCTCCGCGGCTCTTCATCCTTTCATTATCGTTCCTATGCTGTCGCTTATCCTCCAGGTCCTCTTCGTCTCCCCTCCCCATCTCGCATTGCAGTCATTATGTCCCGCCGTCATCTCACCCTCCTGGCACTTCCCATCGTCTAATTACGTCATCGCGTTTCCTCTGTTTCTCTGCTCCGTTCCTTCTCCCATGTGTCCTCCCTGTCCTTCTCAGCGTTGTCATCACATTTCTGCTTCTCCTATTCTGCCCAGCCTCCTCGGCAATGCGAAGTACCTTACATGCATACTGTATACTCGCAGTGCCAGCAGTTATCATTGGAACCGGTGTTGTTTGGTACAATGTGGTCATGGATGGTTCATTCTGCCGTGAGGATTGGCTATGGAGTATCCTGTGTGTTTGCGAGTTCGTTTTGAGATGGTGGAATGAGGGTGCGTTTCTTGCTAAGCGAGCACTCGTTGAACATGCCGAGCAAACCTTTGTGGCCCAAGCAGAGCATATTCTCTTAGTTCTATGGTCAGGCATGCGGGGTGTCTCCTTGGTTGCGGTGCGCAAACGTGAGGAATATTGGAAGAGGTGGGGGAGGAAGCAGGATGACTCAGGCAGACCTGGGGCAATAATAAGTGACTCCAGAATGTCCAGGAAGGCTCTGAGGGCGCTGTGGAGCGAGGTTGAACGGCCGCGGCGCCCGATGCATGTTCTCTCAGATTTACCTCGATCCGATGTTTACTTCGTCCTTGCTTCGCCTTGTAAGACGTTTATTACTTCATCCCTCCCCCTTTTGTAGGTTAGCATGCAACTCCTGGCACGTTTAATGCAACATCGGCGTTGGCACATCCATGGTCGGAGCTGGATTTACCCGGCCTTCTTCGCTCAAACCCGATTGACCTGGCCTAATCGGATTTAATACGAGAGTGAATCAATCGAGTCTAATCTGGCTCAGTGGCCACTCAATCGGGCTCACAGCCCGTAAGCGTTCTCGCGAAGACCTCCCGGGCTCTGCCTCCTGGCAGATCGGGAGGGGCAGGAGGGAGGAGGCCCGAAGCTCTGGCGCGCTGCCGGTGGTGCGGAGGACAGCGCGGCGTCCGAGTACGAGGCGACGACCATGGAGAACAAGCTCGCGAAGACCGCGAAGGACCAGGACGTGGCGCGCTCGACTTCGCCGGCCGGTGGCCCGCCGGTGGCCTTTTCCCTGGGCCTCCGTGCGGGCCGCGTGCCCGCCCCCATGGCAGCCGAGAGGCGCGAGTGGGCGCCGCATGGCCTGCACCGCAGAGGCTGCGCAGCGCAGCTCGCATCACTTGGCCTGCAGCACGCAGCGTTTTGCACCGCAGATTGTTGCATCGCCCACCGCGTGGGTTGCACAGCACAGCTTCAGCCGCAGAGCGCCTAAAGTTGTCACCGTCGTGTGGTGCAGCGATGCAGCTCTCACACCACACACAGCTCAATCGACGTGGACGCAGCTGGCGCAACAAAAAGCCTACAGCGCATCGCTTCCACCTCCACAGTGCATTCACGGATCGCTTTGGGCGCCCATCGTGGTGCACATGTTCTTCGGCTCCCATCCAGTTGTCTCGTCGGGTGGCGATTTCTTCTGCACTTCTCCACGCGCTCCACATCCCTCTCCTGCCCCGTCCTCTGCCACCCTCCCGCCCGCACCCCCTCTCTGCTGGATCGCCCGAGAGCCTCCTCCTCCTCGGCCCCAGACCTCCGAGCAGCTCGGTCTCCTTCTGGGGACACTGGCCCCTGAGGAGCTCTCGGCCCCCTCCCCTGTGGGATCAGCGTTGAGTCGGGCGGGTCCCTCTGCAGGAGGAATATTCGAAACTAGTCAAACATAGTCTAGGGACGATGTTCTTCAGTATGTTTGGCCATTCTCGATGTTGTTGTTGTTTGCCTATTCGTCGACAATCCCCCTGTAGGGGGACGCGCCCGACCCAAGATCAGCAACTCCTCGCGAAGGCCTCCAACAGCGGCCTCTCGGGGCGCCGAGGATGCGGCGCAGCCTACCCTGGAGAAGCGAGCTCTGCGCCCGCGCCGCCCAGCACGGGTCTTGCAGAGGCCCCCTGGGGCCCTGGGCGCCGCGTGGAGATCTCGCCTGAGCTTCTCGCGCAGCCTGCCCCCCCAGGTCGTGATGCGCCGATCCTCGGTCTTCCTCCTCCCCCCTCCTCGTGCACCTCCTCCCCCTCCTGGCCCCTCCCCCCGCTAGCCCTCGTCCTCCCTCCTCCCTACCCCTCCTCTTCCCAGTCTTTAAGCCGGGCACGTCCCTCCACAGGGGGGGTGTTCGAGGGTAGTGAAAATATAGTCTGGGGCGATTTGTTGGGGTATCATATCTTACATGTTTTGAAGATGTTTGGGTTTCTTATTATTTGTCTCCCAACATTCGCCTGCAGGAGGACATGCCCGACCTAATCCTAGTCCTTGACCTCCCTCCTCCCTCACCTTCCTCGGGGCCGTCTCCAGGCTCTATACCGTGCTCCCCGCCTAGATCCGGGCTGGACTGTGTGTCCCCGTCTGTAGGCTAGGGCGTGTCTGCTCGTGAAGCTGCTCAGATCCAAAGTCTTTGTATCGTAGCCTACAGCGGGAGACGCTGGGTCCGCCGATGGTGCTTTGCCTTCCGAGGTGAAGTACCAGACAAAGGAGGCCGCAAGCCTGGACAAGGCCCCCCCCCCTGCGGCGCCGCCCGTGACTGGCCGAGCCGAGACGCCCACCTGACCCAGGCTTTCGAGGAGGAGGAGGAGGAGGAGGAGGAGAAGGAGGAGGAGGAGGAGGATAAGGAGGAGGAGGAGGAGGAGGAGGAGAAGCAGCTTTCGCGTGGCCAGCGTGCGCACGGATATATCCCGCTCGCCAGACACCGCCTGGCTCCTGGGCCGCGGGAGGCGGTGGGCCGGGTGCCTTCGGGTTCCCATGGGGGCCCGAGAGCGTACAGATCCGCCGCCTCCCCCTATCCCTCCTCCTCCTTTCCCTCCTGCTCCTCCTCCTCCTCCTCCTGAGCTCCTCCTCCTTCCCTCCTCCTCCTCCTCCTCCTCCTTCCTTCCTCTCCTCCTTCCTCCTCCTCCTCCCCCTCCTTCCTCCTCTCCTTCCTTCCTCGCTCCTACTCGTCCTCATCGGCCTCCTCCTCCTCCTCCTCGTTCTCCGCCTCCTCCTCCTCCTCCTCCTTCCTCCTCGTCCTCCCGGCCTCCTCCTCCTCCTCGTCCTCCTCCTCCTGCTCTCCTCCTCCTCTCCTCCGTCTCCTCCTCCTCCTCCTCCTCCTCCTCCTCCTGTCTCCTCGGCCTCCTCTCTCCTCGTCCTTCCTCCTCCTCCTCCTCCTCCTCCTCCTCCTCCTCCTCCCCCTCCTCCTCCATGTCCCCGAGGGTCGGCGGCCCGGGCGGTGGGCGTGCTGTCTGCTCCCCGCCCCGCGCGCGCAGCATGCCCTTCGGATGCCCGGCGGCCTGCCGGGAGGCTTCCTGGCGGCCTCCGCAGACCTCCGCGTGACTTCCCTCCGCCCTCATCATGTTATGGCCTCCCCCCTCCTACCTCGGTATCTTTGATATTGGTTTCGTTTCCACAGCTGCATGTGTATATCGATGGTATGTCTGGAGATGTATGTATATAGGTGTGTGTGTGTGTCTCTCTCTCTCTCTCTGCCTCTCGCTATTCTTGGTTTTGTTTGTGTCTCTGTCTCTCTCTCTCTCTCTCTCTCTCTCTCTTTTATCGTTATAGGTGTCTGTCTCTCTGTCCCTCCCTATACACATATATATATATATGAATATAGGGCTGTGTCTACCCCCTGCCTCTCTCTTTCTCTCTCTTTCTTTCTCTCTGTCTGTCTCTCCCGTATTCCCTCCCTGTTGTTGTTGGTGTTGTTGTCGTTGTTGTTGTTGCTGTTGGTGCTGTTGCTGTTGTTGTTGGCGAGAACACAACGCAGTTTTGTTCGTTGTCACAAAAACGCGGACCTGGGAACCTTCTACCCCTGCCGCCCCGCCGCTGGCGCCGCGGTTCGCCGCGGTGCCTGTGGTGGGGCGGGTTGGGTCGGTTGGGGGGTGCGTTTGGGGTGGCTCGCCTCAGGTCTTCATGGACTTCGTGTTCCTCGTCTTGTTCGTGTTCTTTGTCACGTCTCCCTGCGGTGGGGGGAGGGTAAATATACCCCCGCGTCGCGCGCGCTGCCCCGAGGGCGCTTGTCGGCCGAACGCGAGGCTGGCGCCCTCGGTGCGCGCGTCGCGGGCCGCCGTGGCGGCTTTTGTGTCCGTATGACCGTGTCAGTATGACCGTGTCAATGAGGCCGTGTCAATGCGACCGTGCCTGGGCCGTGTCAATGCGACCGTGCCAATACGACCGTGTCAGTGCGACCGTGTCGATAAAGCCGTGTCAACGCGACCGTGCTTTGGCCGTGTCAATGCGACCGTGCCAATACGACCGAGTCAGTGAGACCGGGTCAATAAGGCCGTGTCAATGTGACCGTGCCTGGGCCGTGTCAATGCGACCGTGCCAATGCGACCGTGTCAGTGCGACCGTGTCGATAAAGCCGTGTCAATGCGACCGTGCTATGGCCGTGTCAATGCGACCGTGCCAGTATGACCGCGTCAATGTGACCGTGTCGATGCGGCCGTGTCAATGCGACCGTGCCTGGGCCGTGTCGACGCGTCCGCGCCAGTAAGATCGCGTCAATGCGACAGCGTCTGTAAGGCCGTGTCAATGCGACCGCGTCTTTTCGATTGCGTCAACGCAACGCGTCAATTACGCCGTGTCGTTGCGACCGTGCCAATTTCTCCGCGTCACTGCGTCCGTGTCTTGTGGGGCGTGTCAAGGGGACCGCGCCGTTGCGACCATGTCAACGCGTCCGTCTCGCCGCGACCGTATCAATGCGAATGTGTAAAAGCGGATGCGTCATTGCGACCGTGTCAGCGCGACCGTGTCAGTGCGACCACGCCAATATTACCGCGTCAATGCGACCGGTTTCCGCCGCCCAGCATGTTGACATTCGTCAGGAGACGCGCGCAATGATCGTTGTTACGCGACGGAGCCAGCAGTGCGCGCAGGCAGAAGACGCGAGCCGCATACGCCGTTGGGCGCGCGGCCGCACCAGCGATGTGCGCTGCAACGCCCACGCTTTCCATGAGCCTGGCTGATTTTCTTGCGGCCCATGATGATACAAGCCGCGGCGCCGAGTGGCTTCGGCAGTGCGCAGCCCTATGCCAGGCGCCGCGAGCGGCTGCGAATGCCGCCACGACGCGCCAGTGCCTCGCGCGCAGGACAATGAGTTGGAGTCAGTGCGTGATCTTGCGTTTGCAGATCCCGGCGCACTGCAGGGCACCCCGTCCGCGGGTAAGCGCTCCTTCTTAGCCAGAGTGATGGCTGCCGCGAAGTCTCTGACAGCGGAGGAACAGCGCGCGGCTGATCCGGCCAGCGCAGGCAGCGCGGCCGGGAGCGGGTCAGCACCTGAGCCGATGTGCCACGTGGACATTCAGGCGAAGTTGCACGGAGGCGCTCTGAAGGATGTGGGCCAGGCGTTTTGGCCGCGGTCCGCGGCGGTCGACGCCCTCGAGACGGACGTGAGGCGGCTGCAGCGTCGCGGCATCAAGCGGCCATTTGTGTTCGCTGACCAGAAGAAGTTCTTGCCGTCCTGGGCAGAATCGAAGAGCGCGAAAGAGGAGGCTGATGAGGGCCCGCCCATGTCTCGGGATCTTCGCGACCTTTCGCGCGCGCTCGGCGTAGCGAACCCAGTCAAAGCGAAGTCGCTCACTTTCACGCAGCGGCATGCCGCCTTCGACAGGTGCACGCGTCTGCGCGCGGGGCGCGCACCCAAGAGCAACGGCGTCGTCCGAGCGCGTAGGTACGCCATCGCTTGCGTCTGCACGGAGCAGATGACGCTGGCTGCGACGATTCGCCACCGCCAGAACGTCTTGAAGGCCCGCCTATCGCCGTTGCTCTGCGGATCCAGCGGCGCGAGTGCGATGCGCGCGCGGCGCGGCAGGTGGCCGCGCAGGCGCCTAATGCTAAGCGGAGTGGCGCGCTGGGGCTCGTATACGATGAGATTTGCCGGCGCACTTGGGCAGAGAGGTCTCGCGCCGGTGATGATTCCCTCGACATCGAAACTGTCGTGGCAACGATCGATGTGATTCGCAACTGCGCCTACTCGTGCGGACGGCCGCGCTAAATCGCCCGCGGTCGCGCATAGAGATCGTCCGGGCTCTCAGCGTAACTCCTAGCGCCCCCGCGGCGTTCGCACCGCTTGGCCCCGCGAACGATGGCGTTGCAAGAGCGCCGGGGGCGAGACACACTACCCACGTCCATAATCCATGCCCCCGCGCGAGCTCTCACACGCGTCACAGCAGGCGGCACCCCCATGGGCTATCCCCACAACCCCGCACGAGCCAAGGGCTCCATCGTTTGCCCAGACCGCGCAAGCACACCCCCGGCGGCGCCGAACGACCGCGGCGAGTACGGGGAGCCGCGGGCCAAGAGCGCCAGGCATCACGAGCGCTGATCAACGTTCCTGCGCCGCGCAGGCGCGGGTCGGTGCGCGCGCGCGCGACGGCGGTAGCCGGACGGCGCGCAGGCGCAGCTGAGAGTCCAGCGGTGACATGTGAAGCGTGCCGCGGACAGGAGGCTGGAAGCGCGGCGCACCTACAGGTATGTCGCGCGCGGTGGCGTCGCGCTTGCGCAGGCTACCAATTCGGTGTGGACGCGCGGGGCGCAGCCTACACCGGTTGTTTCACTGGAAGAAGTTGCCGGCGCGGGCGCTCCCGCTGTGGGCGGGGTGCAAGCCCATTTGTCGAAAGGCCCCATCGCGTATCCGTCTTTGCTCCCGCGCGCGCGCGTTAAAAATCTGTCGCGTTGTAGGAGAGCTTGACGCTGGCGACTTGCAGAAGATAGAATTTATCAACTGTGCAATGAAGGACGGATTTCACATCGCGCCATCGCGCGGGATTGAGGAAGACGTTCGCTGCGCCATAGAGTGGGAAGCGTCCTGAGACAGCGTAGAGGTTATGCGTCTGCGCGACAATATGCTATCACGCCTGGAAGCGTGGGGACAAGCGTTACGACGTGACGGGGCCGTCGAGCAATGGTTCGCCGGCGCTGACGACGCGACGCGCGCCGTGTCCGCCGACGGGAATGGGCCGCTTTTAGCTGCTCTGCTCGACATGACGAGCTACGATGACACGGCCGCGGCTGATCTGTTCCGCTACGGCGCGCCTTTGCTCGGAAAGCTGCCCCATGCGGGCAGAGGGCCCGCAAAGAAATTCCCGGAGCCCACGTCGTCCGAGGAGTTGCGGACCTCCTCCCCCGTGCACAATAGAGCCATTTTGTCTTCCTTGCGAGAGGACGTGAACTCGTCTGCGATCCACGAGGGCGCGCTCGCCGATGCGTCTCTGTCGCGGATGACCGCTCCGGTTGTGCTGGCCAAGGCGGACTTGGGCAGGGTGCGTCTGTCCCCGCGTTTCTCCATTGCGCAGGGCGTCAAGCCGGATGGCGCGCCCAAGGTTCGCGTAGTAGACGATGAATCGAGAGGGGGCATCAACTCGGCGTGCCAGCCCGCCGAGAGGTTGTTGCTGGACGGGGCTGACGTTTTGGTGGACGCCCTGCGCTGCTATCACGGTCTGAGCGGGCACGCACCGGCACTGTTTAAGGCTGACATCGACTCCGCTTACCGGCGTGTGCCTATCGCTCCTGAACACAGG